GCCCGTAGAAACAGCTAGAGTTCCTGTTCTTTTGGCAGCGTTAGGAAGTCTCTTCGGCTTTGGGGCCTTCTGTTCTCATCCCGAAATGCTGCCAGAAGGGCTTGGTCTTTCTCCCCTGGGTGACACCAGCCTTCGGATATTTTGCAATAATCAGGCCTGAGCAACCCCCTCTGTGTTTTCTTGGCTCGCACCCGAGGAAAGGTGGGTCTCCAGCTTTGGTGGGCACCGGAACTGCCTGTGAGGTTTGAAATCTGTGGGTTTCTGGGCTCCTGCCCCCAAGACTGTTCCGTAGGTCTCAGGAGAGCCGGGGACTCTGCGGTTTGAAAGGCCCCCAGGGGAGGCTGATGCCCCCCACTTGGAGAAAGGCCGCCCCGGAGGCTGGGTCCCGGAAGACAGCTTCGGGATAGGGCCACCCACCCCCCTCAGGTTTGGAAGGAGACACCGAAGCCGGGGAGGGACTTGTCTGAGGTCACAGAGTCAGCAGAGCCCGAGCTGGGCTACTCAAGGTGACCAGGCCTGCATGCAGGTGGCACCAAATATTTATTCATTGGTGACAGGCAGCCCCTCAGAAGTCAGGCAACTGAGAGCCTCTGCTTTTCCTCTTCGTCCTTCTCTCCCCACCCCCAGACCTCCTCTTTCTGTTATATTCGAGAACTCATCTACAGCCGACTGGACACAGGCCCTCCCCGAGCCCACCCTGATCTATTTCCCAGAGACAGAACACAGCTTGGGCCAGCAGCAAACACAACACTCAAAGAAACCACCACCAGGTGGGACACGGGGGAGCTCGCGTGGGCCCCTCCGCCTCCACGAGCTGGTGCATCGAACTGGGCGGGCGTCTTCCTGGCCGGCCACAAAGAAAAAGCCAGAGCCCAGGTTTCCAGGCCCGGTGGGATGGGAGCCCAGGCCTCTGCCGGGTCAGGGCCAGACGGGGCGGCGTGGGACCAGCCAGGCTTTCTACCCCCCAGCCGCCTCTAGGAGAAAGCCTGCACAGAGGCTCTGGGAGGGCCGGGCCCCCTCCCTGTCCCCAACACCCACGGTGGCCTGTGAAACTTCTCCATTCAAACAGACGCCTGGTAACTGGGGAGCCAGATAAGGCACCTCCTGGGACCAAGGGAGGATCAAGTCAGCGCCACATGAAATCCAAGCTTTGTCTGTGAACCCGGCATTCCCCTCCCCCACCACGCACCTGCTTATTGAAAATAAAAGGCCATTACCACGAAGACTTGCCCTCGTCAGGGTGGGGAACTTGGCGACAGGAAGAGTCGGCGGCCTGACCGCAAACTGACACCCCGTTAAGCAGAAACCACTGGTAGTGGAGGAAAAAATATAAACCCCGAACATGGGTCGGCTAAGATTCCACCCTGGAGGGTATCCATGACTCTGCACGTAATTTTAAAAATGATTAGCAGACGGCTGGGGCCCGACAGACAAAGGGGATCCTTAGAAGAGTCCACTCACCCCAGCATTTTGTTCTAAAAAATCCTTCCATGAAAGACTCGTGTTTTCTAAGTGGGCCATATGGGCTGCCGGAGGCCATCCAGCCAGAGAGGCCCCAAGACGACAGACCGCAGGTCGGGACACGCGCCACCCCAGCCCCCAAAAGCACATCCTGGAAAATGATACCCATCAGCTCGCAAGGTGCCCCTCGTAAAACCTGGTCCCACGGTACCTTCTGCGCACGAGGCCACAGGTCACGGGAGTCACGCAGGCCCGAGAGATCTCCCCGGGGGGCAGCGCAGAGACCCCACCAAGCCCGGACAGCAGGGGCGAAGGAGAAATGTCAGGAACACCCTCACACACATCCCCTTCCCTGACTGCTCCTCCCCGTCCTCCCTCCCCCTCCCCCCTGCGCCAATCTGATGGCAGCAGCTGAGCCAACAAGTCATTTCTAAAATTAGCCGGTGAGCCCCAGGTCTGGCCAGGGGACAGCAGCCCGGGGTGGCCGTTGACCAGGCATCAGACAGCATGGACATATTTGGTGGCACGGAGCAGGGGAGGGGACAGCACATTCTCACCCGTCATCCCTGTCCCCGGCAGGCCGCACACTCCCGCCTCTGCCCCACACAGATAACCCGAGGCCACAGGGGTTGGGGGAGGAGGAGAGCGAGGCTCTGCTCTCCAGCTAGACTCTGGAAAAAAATAACTGGAGCCAGTTCTGGTGTCTCAGAGTAAACAATCATGTGTCACCGCCGGACACCCACCTGCGGGCTTCACTGAGCTCATTTACTATTCCCGACAACCCTGCCCGACGTAGGGGTTTCCCCGCGCTCATTTGACAGACGGGGAGACTGAGGCACAGAAAGCTCAACCAACTCGCCCGAAGCGGTGGAAAGCCAAGATTCGAACCCAGGCAGTGCTGGCCCCAGAGCGCACAGTCGTAAATGTTGCAGCCAGTAGAACACTATGAAAGGTACCGTGTCCACTGCGCAGAAGGAGAAAAGTAAGGACGTCGATAGGTTAAGAACATCATGGGAGTCCCCACAGCTAGCAAGGGACTCCAATCTAGATCTTTCTGATTCCCAAGGCCATGGTCATTCCATTCAAACATGGTATGCTGCTTCTCTTAAGAAACTTTTATTTTTATTTTATTTTTATTTTTAAGATTTTATTTATTTACTTGAGAGAGAGATAGAGCACAGAGGCAGAGAGAGAAGCAGGCTTCCCGCGGAGCAGGGAGCCCGAAGCAGGGCACGATTCCAGGACCCCAGGATCACGACCCAAGCCGAAGGCAGACACCCAACCGACTGAGCCACCCAGGCGTCCCAAGAAACATTTTAACCGGTAGTACACGTTGTTACTTTTCTATCCCTGTGGCTGATAGAGCAATATATTCTCAAGGTACTTACTTCCTTCTGGGGGTTGGAGATTTAGCATTTTATTGGAAGTTCGTGGAAACACTTTTCTTTGGACGATGAAACATGAACCCACCTCCTGGTGCTAAAACTAGCCTCCTGGCGCTTTGCTGTCCTGTTTATCTTCTATATCTTTTCATGGCTGTCGATCCTACGTGGTGGGGTGGACGTGTAGACATGACTCTAGGCCTGGGCTGGGGGTCTCTGGCAGCCTCAGTCTGCAGTGCCGTTTGGATTGACTTGAAGGGAACTGTGTCCCGAGGGCACCTGGCATTTCTGCTTTATTCTCCTGGTAACTGTGGTGCTGAAAAATCCACCAGGACAACCAAGTATTGCTCTGCCCACGCTGTGATTTAGGGCAGCCCTCGTAAGTGGTGTTCTGTCACCGGGCTGAGCATTGGCCTCCGGGTCTCCAGGCTTTGTTCCCCAGGGGGCAGGACAGGACAAGAAAGTGAGGGCTCTCTAACCAAGGTCCCCCGGGGAAATTGGTCCCTTCTGGCACTTCTGGAACATGGACAGTCCAAGCGGCTGCAGGTCCGTTGGGACACAGACTAGGGAACCGTGGGCATGTGCACCTGCCCTGGGGTGGTCAGGTTCTCCCCCTGGAGACCTGGCCTCGTCTTCAGCTGGTCAGTTCTGGATCCATATATTGGCCAAGGGATGGATTGTGATATTTTATTTTTTAAAAAGATTTTATTTGAGAGAGAGAGAGAGAGAGAGAGTGCATGAGCAGGGGCGGGGGAGGGGCAGAGGGAGAGGGGGAAGCAGACTCCCCGCTGAGCAGGGAGCCGGACACGGGACTCGATCCCAGGACCCTGAGATCATGACCTGAGCCGAAGGCAGACGCTTAACCCACTGAGCCACCCAGGCGTCCCTGGATTGTGATATTCTACTGGGGCAACTGACTTAAGCCTCCTGATCATCCTTAACTTCTTCTTTGAGTAGGACCCTTGTTGGTGGCCCATCTCTTTTGCCCCTGGGGATGCCACATTCTATTCATTATCTCCATATAACCTGCGATTCAGGGGCCCCCAGTGCACCCCACCTCACCGCACGCTAAGTGACTGCTTCCCCCTGGCTCCTGATGACTGAGTGCCATCCCCAGCCTCTCTCGTTTGGGGCTCCTATCATCCCCACTGTTCTCAGAGAACCGTGTGTGTATGTTTGTGTGCTGATAAACTGGAGAACAGTCCCCTGCGTCTGAGTGTCGTGGGGCAGTCATGAGAATCCCCCCAAGTGACTGCCGAGGGGCCTGTGTTGTATGTCACGGTCCCCACAGAGATGAAGGGGAACTGTCTCTCTGTGTCTGTGTCCTTAAGTGGCTGGTACACAGTAAGTGCCCCATAAATGCATATGGGATAAATAACCAAATGTATGGAAACTGGACCAGAGCAGGCATCCCAGGACCTGGTCCCACATCATGCGTTCTCTAGACGTCTGTTGGTCTGTCTGTCCATCTCCCATCGGTCTGTGTTCTCCTGTTCATCCCGGTCTCCAAGTACCAAGCCAGGCACTGAGCAGGTGCTCATGGAATCTTTGGTGGGCAAAGTAGCTAGTGAACAGAAAACTATAGCCCGGATTGTGGAGGTGGGAGAGATCCCTGTAGAGAGACCCCCGAAGCCCACCTCCTGGCCTCAGGGTTCCCTTCTATAAAACGGGGATCCTGATGCCACTGACTGTTCTAGTCCTTTATGGCCCGTGGTAGGTGCTCAGTGAATGTTTGTTGAATGACTGAATGATCAAATGTAGATCTATAAAAGTTTTCCTAGCTCTGCCCCGCCTGCAGAGGAGAGCCAACACTGACCTTCCTAGTGATGCTGGTGTCCTCTCACGGGATGGCCTCGGGTGTCCTGCTGGCCCCCCAGAGGGTTTTCCTCCCCTCGCACACCCCATGCTCAGAGGAGCCAGGCTCGTGGTGTCCTTGTCAGGGTGACAATCCTGTAGAGCAGGAGAGTGGTCCCGAATGCATATACTCTCCCATATCTGGCCTTCTGTTGGCAACTAATTTCTCTCTGCTTTTTATTATCTTTCCCCAAAGCATCCATTAAGCTTAGCCATAGCCATCCGGTCCCACTGTCCAGGATTTACTCTCTCTGCCACTTTTCTCAAACGCTTTGCTGCCCTAAATAAAGAAGTAAACGGAAGCAAGCTCAAAATGGGTAAGTTTATTCAGGAATAGCAGAGGGATTGCAATTCAGGACAAGCAAGCTGCAGGCGAGTAGGGTCGCAGGTTTGGGTAGGTTGTATTGATGGGCAGGGAACATAAAGAGGGGACAGTTCAGCGAGGGTCTGTGACAATCAATGACAAACGGACACCAGCTCTCAAAATTCCCCGAGCAGACGGAACCAGTCCAGCCACACAAACAAAGGTCCATTCAGCCCACTTTGTGAGACCAAACTGACCTGCGTCACCTCTGGGTCACGCCTCTGGCAAAGTTTCCCACGGTGGATATGGGACAACCTCTGACCAACACCTCATCATCCAAGGAAATTGCAACATGATCAGTCTTCTGTAAATCAGGAAAATCAGTCTCTTAGCCTTGAGGTTTTATCTTCCCGGGGGGCACATGCACGAGGCTCCTTTTCTATGTTCCAGTTCTTAGATTTAGCGTTTTTGTTTTTTTTTTTTTCCCAGCTCGATAGGACAAAGCATCCAGTGCACCCCCTTCCACCGGCGTACCATCCCCACTCACCTCTGCTGCAAATGCGAACGCTGGAAGCCCCCTCTCTTTGAACCAGGGGTTTCTCTGTTCCACCTACTGCCACCGATTCCCGTCAGTGACCACGGCCAACCGGGCAGTGGGTGATCCAGCCCCCGCACCCCAGGTCAGCACCTGTGATCTCCTACCGCACCCGGGCCCAACACTATAGACTGCTTTCCCCGGGGCAAGCGGACTCTGAAATAGAATGTAATGAACAGAACTTATATTAAAGAGTTCTCTTGGTATCTATGCCTATGGAAGGATGGAGAAGGAATGAGGATCGGACAGAGGGAAATGTCTAGCTGTGACGAGGGCCCCCAAACAGCCTGTGGCAACCCCACTGTAACCCCTAGAGCTAGTTTGTCCCCGAATTGGGACCAAGATGGCCAGCCCTTTGTACCTCGGTGCAGACCAGTCACTGGATGTGGGCACCCGGGCAAGGGTGTGACATCGGGCAAGGCGGCGCTCTGTAGCTAAGGCATCCCGAAGGGGCAGACAGCTGAGGGTTGCCTGATGACTGCAGCCCTAGCACAGACAAGAAGGCCTTCCGTGAAGGAGGATCTGGACAGCACATGACGCTGTCCACTCCCTGGCCGAGGTCATCCAGGACATACTTGGCAAGGTGGAGGGACTCGTGACCACATTCAGCACCACTGCTGCTACCTCGGACACAAGGCTCCCATGCTCACCCCTGTAGTCGCTGGCCACAGCCGAGGCCAAAGTCGACCCCGAGGCGAGTGGGAAGTTCACTGGCATGGTGTTTCATGCCCCCACCGCCACTGGGTCTCATGGATCTGATCTGCTGTCTAGAAAAATCTGTCCAATACATCGACATCAAGAACGAAATGAAGCCCTGGGCCACACGAAGAACGAGTCCCCCTCCTGCATTTTTTTTTTAAGATTTTTTTTATTTTAGTTTTTTAAAGATTTTATTCATTTATCTGAGAGAGAGAGACAGAGCACAAGCAGGGGGAGGGGCCGGGGGAGAGAGAGAAGCAGGCTCCTCGCTGAGCAGGGAGCCTGATGCGGGGCTCGATCCCAGGACCCTGAGGTCATGATCTGAGCTGAAACGAGTCGGACGCTTAACCGAGCCGCCGAGGCGCCCCCCTCACCCCCTCCACCCCGGAATTTTAACACCGGCTCCTCTACCTTCAGGGCTGACATTACCTTTAACACCACTGTGTCAAGCTCATTTCCTGGCATGACAATGAATTTGGCTACAACCACCACACGGCAGACCTCATGGTCCACACAGCCTCCCAGGAGTTAAGAGCCCTGGCCACTAAGTCCCTGCCCCAACTCTGTCCCCAACACACTGAGAATTTCCCATCGTCTGCACCAGGGGTTCGAAACGGGGTGGTTTTGCTCTCCGCAAGAGGCGTTTGGCAATGTCTGGTGCTATTTTGGGTCGTCCAGACTGGCCGGTGGGGGGTATGCACTGGCATCTAGTGGGTAGAGGCTGCTCAACATACTACAGGGCACAGGAAGGGCCCCGCTGTCCCTCCAGAGAAGGACCCAGCTCCAAACGCACTGAGGCCGACAAATTCCTACGCAGTTTCTAGCCCAGGTCCCTGAGAAAGGGGAAGGCCTTGGGCTCTTGCCCTCTTGTCCTCACCCATCGTGCTGCCATGAAGTCCACGCCGTGCACATCGGGGCAGGACTGGGAAGGAAGGCTGGGAACGAAAGGTTGAGGGGAGGGCAGCAGATATCCCTGAGGCAACGCGGCAGAAACTGAGGGACCTGGGGGGCACTTCATTTTTGCTCGCGAGTCCTGCCTATGCCCCTCACATTTACCCTTCGTGGCAAACCTGGAGGATATTTTGGCTGGAATGGTCCGTCGGGCTCATCTCATCCAACTCTCATAAATCAGAGGTGAGAAAATGGCAGAGCAAACGGGTAGCCCAGAGAGGCCTGCTGGGAGTGGGGTGCCCAGCACTAACCCCTCCTTCCAGGCCCCGAGGGGGGACAGGCTTCCAGCAGCTCTGGGGAGCGGCTCTCGGTTACGTGGCGCATCCGACCACGGGCTCCTCTGCGTGGCCACCCGCCCGCTGCCCACGGAGCTGCCCGCCCACTCCGTAGCCCGGCCTCCTGTCGACTCTATTAAACGGTTTTCAAATTGGCAAACAACGCGTACATTCCAGGGAAACCAAATAGCTACGTGAGTCCATCCTGCCTTCCTTCTTTCCTGAACCAGCACCACACAGGAAGGCCTTCCAGCTCCAGGACAGGAAATAGCCAGCCTACCCTCGACCTGTGGGCCCCCAAGCGGGCAGCTGGGATCCTGGGGCCGTCACCTCCTTGGATTTCTGGTTTAAACTGACATGCACCCCGGGGTCTCTCAGCTCATCTCCATGGGAGCAGGAATGGAGAGTGAAGGGTCTGCGCTTCCCGGAGGGACTCCAAGGCCACCCTGGGAGTATGCTGGGGGGCCCCGTGTAGTCTAGACTAACTGGGGAGGAGATGGACGCCCTCCTGGGTCTCCCTGTGGCCCACCTGTCACAGGATCTTTCCCCACAACATGTCTTGCAGGACGCACAGGCGGTTGGGTCTCCAAACCCCCGAGCCTGTGAAGCGGGCTGTGCTCCAACAATCCACAAAATCCGCAGGAATGCAGATCAGCGGTCCCCTTCCTTTTTATAAAATGAGCCTCTGCATGGATTGTCCTCAAAGCCGGGATTCTTTAAAAGGCGTCACTTCCTGATGCTTAGCAGCTTGATAAAGAAATTAATTGGCGCGGGGCGGGGGGGGGGGGGGGCGGGGAGGACAGCACACCGAAGTAGGAATCTTTGTACAGAGCCTTTTTATTGAGATTTTTATATAAGCAATTTATCAACACAGGAAACCAGCCTCGCTGCTCCAAAAGAGCTGTGTAAGACGGTGATACCAAATGACAGCTCGTGCCCGCACAGGGCGGGTGATCGCAGGCGTGGAGCAGCGTCTCCCGTGGGCGAGGACTTCAAACGTGCACTAGTAAGCGGATACTGAGAGAGGGCTACACAGCCCCACTGGCACAATCAACGTGAAGCGAGATCAAAACAAATGATAATTTCATAAGTACAATATCTAGATTTACAATATCTAATTCACCCGCTTCACCCTGTTGGGCAACGCACAATAGAAAACGGATTTATTTCTTGAAGGGCGTGATGCTTGGCCAAGAGTATAGCGAAGACGAGGCCACACCGACGGCTACCCAGCGAGGAAGACAGGCAGAGAGAAATGTCAGCGTGCGGAGGGACCCCCTCTCCCAGGGGACTGGTCAATCCGGTTCACGGGAATACTTCAGGGTCCGTCCGCTCGGAAGTTAAGACCTCTGGCAAAGGTTTAACCACGTACGAGAGCATTTGCCTTTATGGCCCCATCTTCCAAACCATTTTGCAACAGCGATGCGGTGGGGGCGCCGGGAAGTCACGTTCAAAGGCCCTCCGCCTGGAAGCGGGGTTTTTAAACACGGCTGGCCCCCTGTAAGCAGCGCTGAGGACCGACCTCCCATTTAGTACTCGATACCTCAGGCGCAACAGCCGAATCTCGGGGCGACGGCGAGACGGAGTGCGGGGATTTGGCACAACCGGAGTAGGAAATGATGCTCTGCGGGCGGCTCTCGGCTCCAGGGGGAGAACGATCCAGAGGGATGTCTACCTGCCCTGTTGGCTTAGTCGGGACCGTGGCTTTAAAACTGACATCAAGAGGGAATCCCACCGAAACGTGTTACTGAGATTCTTTTAGAATGCAGCCAGTCTGGGAGCGAGCATTTGGGGGTACCCGTCAACAAGCAGGAGGCCTTCTGAAGAGGTAGATGAAAAGCAGTATTTCATGACAGGCACGCTGTCAGACGTCCCCAGGAAGCACACACGCCTCTCGGCACAGACCCGAGGATAAGCTTTTGTTGCAAACAGTCCACGGCAGTGAAGAGGGGATGTTCACCCCGCGTGGCTGTGCGCGTTACTTCCACTTCATTTTATGAAGCACAGAAAGGGCTGCCGTTTCTTTAAATAACAAACTATACAAATAAAAAGGAGCAGAAAGAAGGAATGTTTCTGACGAAAACAAACATTAAGGATTCAATAAATAATATAAAATGCTTTTGTGCTAAAATAGAACTCTGTTTTTTAATATATATATATATAGGCAGTTCGGCAATCTTTACGCTACTCAGAAAAAGCCAAATCTATTGTAATTAGTTAAAACATAGAAAAATACAATTTCACAACAGAACTTAAAAAGTGGCCAGTGTTTAGCTTATAAACCACATATAATATATACATCACGGGACACAAATCAGCTGAGACACAGGGAATTAAATTTCAAGTCCTTTTGTAATTATGAGTGCATGGTTAGAAATAGTTCTCCATTCCCTACCCTTACATGAAAGACGTTTTATATTAGACACAATAAAATATGGAAGCAGAGTTACCAGTTTTCAGAGATAATTTTGAGATTGTGGTATTAAGAGAGTTTACTGTAAGAATGTGAGTTGCTGAAACTTTAAAACAGCTTTTGTTTCTTAAGTTTTTCATGAAATGCATGTACTGTTAACTCATTTTCTGGAGTGAGTATGTGTGTGTTTCAGTAAAGGTAATTTAACATTCGGGGTGCTGCATTTACCGATCAATGCTCCCCCGGCCGCGTCCGTGAGTGGCCAGGCATCCGGCACCACGGGGAGGGCATCCCTGTCCCTTGGCAATAAAAGGCCAGGTCTGTTAGTCTTTTGAGGGTGAAAGAAATCTCAAGCCCATTACAATGTGAGGGAATCGTATTATTCCAGAGTTCGGCTTTCATTAGTTCAACAGGAAAAGAATTCTTTTTAAAATGTGGCCTGGGTCAAAAGAAAAAAAAAATTCATATTCGTATGAATTTAAGTAATTGATGAATTCAGATCTCTAGAGTCAACCTTTCATGGGAGGGAAAATCATGTTAGATCTTTAGGGAAAAACATTTTCGAAATTTCAACTATTAAAGCTCACTCTGGAAGTGGGCATGGATTAAACAGCACGCCGGGTGTTGCTATTCTGGGGAGCCTTCTTGTGGTTCCAGTGGACGTGTGACAAAGGTCTGTGGCAGACACAGGGCCCTGCAGGCGGCCACCCAGCCCCCGCGCCTGGCCCTCCCAGTGGCTGCGAGGCGCGCACAGATGGGGGGTTAGCTCTGGGTGCCGGGCGCCTTCCTGGAGGGTGCTGGAGGGCATGCAGGGCCGTGATGGACAGCTGATGGCCTATTCCTAAGTCCAGTGGCTCCATAATTGAAAATAAAGTGACCATGTCTCACAATCATTACTATTCAACTCCTGTTGTAAGGAGGGAAAGAATCAACCAACCCTAACTCAGTCATTTCCTTGGTGCTTGGTGTAAAGGGAGTGATTTTTTTTTTTTTTTTTTTACTCGCAAGTTAAGGCCTTCCTTCCTTTGCCACATTTCTACCACTGTTCTTGCCTGGGAGACACCCACTCCACCTGCCCTACAGCCCACGGCCCCCCAGCCACCACCTGTCCCAGACTCCAGTGAAGCCCGTCTCCTCTCTGGGCACAAACGTCAGTCCTCAGGCGTGCCGAGGAGGTAATTCATCAGGTGTCTCCGAATGACCCAGAAGCACTTCCCTGAACAAAATCACCGAGAAAAAAAAATCACGTATGATTAAGTCCTACAGAATCAGTCTTCTCTTATCCCAGCACATTTCAAAGTACCTTTCATAGATCTACATCATGTGAAAAAGGGTCCGACTTCGAGAATCTGTCTTTCTTCTTGATGTGAAAAATCAATTCCATCGACAAGTCAGATGCTGTATCGAATTGGCCCAACTACAAATTCCGAGTGAAATTTTTCAGATCATCAGAGAAAAGACCACCCTCTGATCTTTTTCATGGAGTTAAAGCTCGCTGTCGATGGGTAAAGGATGTTCTGTAATGGCCAGTGAGGGCCTTAAAACAATTGTTTCTGGTATCCATATGGCATATTTCAAATCGCACGTCAAGCTAGGTCTTGCTTTAAACAGATGGTTGTGTGTTGTTGTTGCGGGCTTTCCTGAGCGGGACACTTGCTTTCCTCCACATCTGGCCCCTCTATTTCCACACAAATTCTGAAACTGTCATGTCTGTGGATTGGCCAATCAGAGGCATGAGAAGCGCAACACGTGCATTAGCAGTAAAACAGCTGGTTTCTATAAGTTTTGCTGAAAAATCATACTTAAACACGATGCAGAAGGGAAAAAGCCGACTCCCAGTGCCATGAAAGGGCAAATGCACCGGAGAGAATATTTTCACTTAGAAAAATAACCTTGGATTGGCTGAAGTTTTACATTTCTTCCATATACGTTGTAGTGCAGCTGAAAGTCATCTTTATTTTTAGACTTTGCTTTATTAATTCCCTTGATTTATGAAGTCAAGACATTATAACTTTATAAAAATAATATCAACTTTATCTTCTTCAAGTGAGAAAACGTGTGCTGAATTTTGTCCTTTCTCACGGTCTACACGTTGAAGGGTCAACCATCTAGGAACGAGGTGACACCCTTAAAACTTTCTGCAACAGATCTCTAGCACAGTGGCCTTCTTTGGCCTTGCAGGCACGAGGTGCTGGCACAGAAGGGTCCCGGAGGCGTCTTCCATGTGGTCGCGGAGACGCTGGCCCTATCAGATGGCTTCGGGGACAAGTGCAGGTAGCAAACTCGCCGGACGAGACCCCAGCGCTTGAAATTAGGCTTGGGACAAAAGTGCTCTCAGGGTATTTCCCAATTCCTGTTTCCTTTCTAAAGGACAGATTAACCTCCGGTTCTACTCCAAAGATGGTATCTTTCAAAGAGCTGCGGGTTGGCGTGGCTAATGCCCTGGGTGGGAAATGGGAGAGGCTAAGCTCAGACCCTGAAGGAGTCTGCGTCCTTCTCAACAGGAGGGTCTTGGCTCTGTCCGGCAGAGGCTTGGGGCACAGCAATTCCCGACCTGTAAATGCTCAGCGATGGGAGCCTGCGATGGGGCTGAGGACAGCAGTGACAGTGGTCATTAACCACACCCGCGAGGCAGCTCACCCTTTAGGAGGAACAGCTATCTTTCTGCTGCTAGTGGTTTTTTTTAAAAAAAACAGAAGTGAACAACATTCCTGGCTTAAAAGGGAAGGCATGTAAAGAGTGCCTCCATCCTCCCCTACTGGAAAGAGCAGAGTAGAACATGCGCACTGATTTAAACCCCAACCAGTAGTTGAGATGGATAGTGGACCTCCACATTTCTTTTCTTCTCCAAAGTGACCCCTATGAAATAAAAAACTCTCAGTAATCATCTTCCAAACTCTCAAAATATAATTTCATTAAGAAGTACTCACTTTCCCAATGAACACAGTGCATGGAAATCTGGAATCAGTAAAAATATCGAGGGGAGGATGCAGATAAAGATGATGCTATTTATATTGTTAGTAGTTAACTTAGAAACACACAACAAGATTGCACTAAGAATAAGACAAATATGTGGACTTTAAAAATTATTGTTATTATTTTCAGTCTGGTGACAGGACTTTACTGGGAAACACACTGGTTCATATAGCCCAGCATAGCCCAGCATTTATTTGGGGCGTGAAAAGGGCACAGAACGCATCGTGGGAGAACCGTGGGGAGAAGAGAAGCCCCCGGGATTAGGCAACAGGCCTTCCCGCCCCACTGCTGTCACAGCGTGGGACGACCCACCCAGGGCCAAGTACCACTCACTAATGACGGGTGAAGGATGACACGGAAGTCAACAAACACAGTTAACTCATTTCAACACATTCATTCTTCAGCATTCTTTTGTCAGTAAAATTCATTTTAAATCATACTACAACGTGAAACAGAGCAATTCTTTCCTTCCTTTACACACCCGTTATGGATATGTGTCCCGAGGGCAGGCAGAAGGAACCAGAATGACCCTGTCCTATAACTGCTTATTGTTGGAGCCCAAGACAGACTCACCCCCAAGCGTCCGTGCGATTTGTTTATTTGAAGATTTTTGAAAATCACTGTTGCCCTGAAAGTTAAAACCCTGCTGCCTGTCCTTCGGAATCCCTGTGAAGCCTTCCAATGGTCCACTGTTGAACGCCGTCATCATGAGCGACTCCCAAGTCCTCTGAGGGCACGCTCCCTCTGTTCCGTCGGAGGCAGGCGGGTACCTGGGTGGTGCCGCACACTCAGCAGGGGCCCAAGGGCAAGCGTCTCAGAAAGCATCTTCAGCTCGCCACGTGGGGCATCAAGAAGTCGGTCGGTGCTGCAGTGCACGGAGGAAACGCGTGCTGACCTCCCGTCCCCCTGGAGTGCGGAGCGGACACGTGTGAGCCCAGCAGAGGACACAAGGCAGCGCTCGGGCCATCCGGCACCTGCCGCCACAGAGCACTGCACTCCATCTTGGCAAGTCTAAGATATGTTTGATATCAGACATACAAACTGAAGCTATAAGGAGGAATCATTTCAAGTTCTAGGTTCACGTCTACCCAAACAAGTGTGTAAGAAAGGGAAAGAACTTTCGTTTCTTTCTTCAGTAGTTTGAGAGTGGACAGATGTCATGTGCAGGAGGCACTCAGAAGGGGAGGGAGGCCGGCCCGGGCCGGACCATGGTCACAGCTCCTATTAGGAGCACCTCGGCGTCCTGGGTCCTCCCAGCCGTGGAAGGGCCCCAGGGACAAGAGGACCGAACATCTGACCCCCGGACTTCTCCAAAAGACTCCCTCTCAAGGGCGGAAAACCCCCGGTACGGGCTTCCTCGAGGCCCCGTCTCCCCAGGACCCTCCTGTCCCGGGCGTCAGAGGCCGTTGCTGTTCCTGTGACAGAGGGGAGGCTTCGAGAGCTCAACCACGCTGGACCGGGACTTGTTGAGGAACTTGGGGGCGCGGCGCAGGAGTCGCTGAGCCTCCGTAAATGTCTCGGTCAGCTCCTTCTTCCACTGCACAAACTCGGGGTCGCTCTGCACGGACACACAAAGGGAGAAGTTGCAACAGGCGTGCACGGCTGGCCAGCAGATGTGGTGCCTCTGGGAACGACCGCGCCACACCGCTTTCCGGCGCGCAGCGCTCCGCTGAACTGTGGGCCATGCGGGGAGCAGGGCCAGGCTGGCAAGCCCTTCGGGGGACCCCCTGAGCCCCACCCTGAGAAGCACTGATTCGTTCAGAGATCACCTTCGATTTCTGATTTCTAAAACAGCTCAAGTCTATACAGTTATGCCTAAGGAGGAGTTCTGGCTGATGAGCGAGCGCGTCACGTGTGCAGTGGAGGGATGCTTATTAAACACACACCTCGGTTACCTACTACTGGTCTCTCTAAATACGCTCTCGTGCACATGCGCACACACACCCACACACACTCCCCCCCACCCACATGCACACCCACACCCTTACACAAACACCCACCCACATGGACACACACACACTCCCCTCACCCACATGCACACCCACACCCTACACACACACCCCCACCCACATGGACACACACACATCCCATACGTACCCACACCCTACACACACACCCCCACCCACATGGACACATACACACACAAACCCTACACACACACACACACACACACACACACACACACACACACACACACCCCAGTACCCCAGAGGAATTAAATTTGGGCTATAATAGAACTTTGGAGACAGAAAGATGGCATGTCCCTTGAGAGAAGTCACTTTGGTATCTTGTGTTTATTTAGACATGCAAGCCCCAACCTTGAACATGCTGAAAGAGAAGAACTGGGAGACCAGCTAACAGACCCCTACTGAACACTGATCAGAGTTCCCAGATAGGGCAGTCAGATTATTCCACGTACCTCCTCTCCTGTCATTTTCTGACGTTTGTTCCTATAACAGTAACGGTTAATTTGCTGAGACCCTTGTGCCCCGGGGCTTTCCTGCTACCTAAGCGACAAAGCACGGATTCAAGAAGCTGCTCCATACCCAGGCAGCTGTGTTCGCGGGAGACGCACACAGTTGCTTGAACTTTCGCTTACGGGGAAAAAGTGTTTTAAAAACCTGAAAAACTCACCTCACACTGCAAGACAAATTGCTTCCCTCCTTTTATCCTCAACAAAATGCACTTTTTGTCTTTAATCTGAGTTTCTTCCACAGACAGAATCTGTTCCATTGTCAGTAAATTTTGCTAGCCATAAACAAAAAAAAGACACATTACTTCACATTATCTCCCGATTTCCTAAGTTAAATTAATAAATAATCTGGAAAACTATCAGCTTAGGAAAAGTTAAAAAAAAAAAAATCAGCCTTTCCCTTTCTCTGATGATGTTCTAGAAGAGAGGGGAATGGCTAGGAAGGGACATGCACAGAATTCAAATGACGGCATCTCGAAGGAAATGGCAAAGGACAGACTGTCCCTGTAAGACGGCAGCACGGCTATTCCCTTGACACAGGATCCATTTGGGAACGGCTGTGACTCGCACGCGTCCCTTCCGTGTCGCACGCTCCCCTGAGTGCTATCGACTGAGCTGGGAGGAAACAGCGAAGTGCTGTGCGACGTACATGAGCCGATGGGGTGCAGCTGAGCTCCTGACATGGCAGCTCGGGAAGGGTCTGGCAATGTTGGCTGGTGAGCTAAGGATATTTTGAAAGAATGATATCAAAAGGATGCTATAAATACAGGCAACATCCTTAAAAGATGGTCACGCCAGGTCTAGAACACGACTGCTTGCGGTGAACGTTATGGTGTCGTGAGTACCTTACCATTTTATGTCTTTTTGGATAAATACTCCAGGACTCCTAAATGAAAAACACCACCATCATAAATGCTCATTTTTCTGTTTCCTGATTTATACCTATGAATCGATCCATCCATATACACTAGGCCGCTCTCAAACAGAACATCGAATGCTGACTTTTAAAACCAAGCTACCAGGGCACCTGGGTGGCTCAGTCGTTGGGCATCTGCCTTCAGCTCAGGTCACAATCCCAGAGTCCTGGGATCGAGCCCCGCATTGGGCTCTCTGCTCAGCGGGAAGCCTGCTTCTCCCTCTCCCACTCCCTCTGCTTGTGTTCTCGCTGTCTGTCAAATAAATAAATAAAATCTTAAAAAAAAAAAAAAAGCTACCTTACTGTATCCGATGTTCAAAAAAAGGGAAGATTTTCTTTAAGTTTTCAAATATCCTGAAAAGCTAGATAACTTCCTTTCAACGCACACCATGGTGACTGTCCAGTAGACGGCAGACTAAAATTGGCCCTGGGACAACATGGGTTTGAACTGTGTGGGTCCACTTCTATAGGGATTTTTTTCCCCGTAAATACAGTACAGTTCGGTAAATCTATTTTCTCTTCTCCTTGTGATTTTTTTTTCTTTTTTTTAAAAGATTTTATTTATTTATTTGACAGAGAGAAATATAGCAAGAGAGGGAACACAAGCAGCGGGGGTGGGAGAGGGAGAAGCAGGCCCCCCGTGGAGCAGGGAGTGTCGTGTGGGGCTCGACCCCAGGACCCTGGGATCGTGACCTGAGCAGAAGGCAGACGCTTAACGACTGAGCCAACCAGGCACCCCTCTTCCTTGTGATTTTCTTAATAACATTTTCTTTTCTCTAGCTTACCCTATTGTAAGAATACAGTATTTAAGTCATGTCACGCACAAATTCTGTGTTAACCCGCTGTTTATCAGTCAGCCTTCTGGTCAACAGTAGGCTATCAGCAGTCAAGTTTTTGGGGGGAGTCAAAAGTTACACATAGGTTTTCGACTGCATGAGGGGCCGACACCCCTGACCCCCGAGTTGTGTAAGGGTCAACCGTAAATGCGTAATATGCCCAGGGACACTTATTATCTGGAAATATTATATATTCTATAATAATAATAATATATACGGATTACAATTTGTGTGTTGAGTTCATATATTTATAAAATACAATATATATGATAGAATATTACACATTATATTATATAACACCAGCACCTGAGTTACAACTCAGGACCCCCAAAGAGACTCACTAATAGCAATTCAGAGCCTAGACGCATTAGTTTGAGGAAATGAGCCCCACGGCACCAGCAGCGGTGAGCAGTCTGACTTATCTGAAAGGAACGTGCTGTGCAGTGGCAATCACTATAATTAGATAGCAATTTACCAACGGGGATTTATTATTTTTATTTATTTATTTTCAAGGATTTTATTTACTTATTTGAGAGAGAGAGAGAGAGCATGCAAGTGGGGGGAGGAGGAGCAGAGGGGACAGGAGACTCCGCACTGAGTGTGAAGCCCGACATGGGGTTCGATCCCACGACCCTGAGATCATGACCTCGAGCCAAAACCAAGAATTGGACCCTTAACTGACTGAGCCACCCAGACGCCCCTTTACCAACGGGGATTTAAAAAACACATTCCAACATCGAACATACCAGATTAGAGGTTATTCTACACTGCTCACCACCGGACAACAGATGGGCAGTATTCTGACACATCCAAGACATCAACTATGTTTTTGACATTCGGGACCCACTGCCCTGCTTCCTTGGCCCCAGAGGACTAGCCATTCCCTCCCCAGGAGCAGAAGTATGCCTTCTGCTTGGATGGCCACCTCTGCACGAGCCCTCCACTCCCCACACAGCAGGTGCTGAATAAAGGCCACCTGCCTGGCTTCGAGGGACAGTGTGGATTCAAGATGTCTTCTTACCTTGTTCACAAACACTGGCCCTCAAGAGAGGACCTGAGGGGGCAGTGGTATCTTCCTGCCCATGCTATGGACGTCACTTAAACTTTTCCAACAAAACAGAGACCAAAGGAAGTGTCTGGCGACCTCGGCTCTGGGCCCAGCATCACTTAGCTCATTTCATTTGAGCCTGACCGGGGGCGGGGGAAGCACGTGAAGGGGTGACTGAGCAGAGGCAGACCCACAACTGTCGTGCTGTGTCACGGACGCCAGACCCCCTTCTCTGAGCTCTGGATTCAATCGCCTCTGTCCGACTCCAACGTCCTGGATTTGTTTGTTTGGTTTTGGGGTTTTTATCTCTTTTGATCTCCCCAACTACTCTCCGGCCTCCTTCAAACCTGTTTTGACCTCACATTCTATTTTCAGACGTTACAGAATCCTTCTTTGACTCTAAGTTTAAAAGTTAGAGTTTGAACACCAAAATCTCATGTGCACGAGTTTAAATAGATACCCAGAGTGTAACGGGCTATTTTAGAAGACATGCCAGCCATCCGAACGAGCCATGTGACACTGAGAACCCTGCAAGTCCGTGCTGGGTGGGCCGCTCTGGACTTACCCGGGACTCTCCCTCTCCTCTCCATTCAAGTCTGTTCGGAAAGAGGTAAAAATACCGACGCTGCCATTGAGTCAGGAACGGGTTCCCCAGCTTCAGCATGTACCCGTGCATGATACAGTCCTTTCCCAGAGCGTAATCTGAGCAATATAAAATAACCGCAAATTAAATGGGCTCGGACACAGATGGTCTATGTTCTTTTCAGAAACAAACGAACAGAAAAGAATGACACACTCTTTGGAAAAATCAAATTTCTTTTTTTTTTTTTTTTTTTAAGATTTTATTTATTTATTTGAGAGAGAGAATGAGAGGTGAGAGGGTCAGAGGGAGAAGCAGACTCCCTGCCGAGCAGGGAGCCCGATGCGGAACTCGATCCCGGGACTCCAGGATCATGACCTGAGCCGAAGGCAGTCGCTTAACCAACTGAGCTACCCAGGCGCCCCGGAAAAATCAAATTTCTGTGAACGGAGGACATTATGCAAATCCGTACCTCAGTTTTGAGACCCAGGTGAGCTGGGGATCGAAAGAACAGGTCTCCGCTAACATACTGAATGGCTGTTTCTCAATATTCGGATACATTCGTGATGTTCCCTCATCGCTCAGAGAGGGCACAGGTTTGTTCCCAAACTATTTTTTCATTATGTGTAATAACAAGAATTGGAGATTAGAGAGGAATTCAATTCAGGCTATGCCCAAAGTACCTTTGCCTTTATGTGGGACTGGGGTTCTCCACTCAATCCCATAAATAATAGTAAGGGGCTTACCAAGCAGCCAAGGTAACACAAGGCTCAAAACTGGTTATTCCTTAAGGCTATATTTATCCCTCAAATATACGGTTACCTAGACAGACTGAGCTAATTTGGACTCATGTTAAGTCCTGATCATATTGTTAGAGTGAAGTACTATCTCTTTTTTTTTTTTTTTAAAAGGTTAATTTTAAGTGACTGGCTCTGCTTTCTTTCTTTCAAGGCTTTGGAGACCAGGCTAAAAATCATTCATTCACCCCTCCCCTCATTCATTCAATAGCTATTCAGGGAATGCCTGGTGTTGGGCATGTTCTGGGCGCTCTGGATTCCGCAGGGCTACATGGCAAGAGACAGAACTCTCGCCCTCAGAGAGCTAATGTTCTAACAGGAGACCCAGACGGTAAACAGATAAGCAATACCCACACTGTCCCGCATACAGGAGGGAAAAGAACCAAGGAGGGAGGGGACAGGTGATAGGGTGGGCTCCCCAGAGCTGTCATTTTAATGCAAAAGTGTTTGCACGGCTTAAGTATATGGAAGGTAGAAGCCTTGCAGGTTTACCTCAGAGACCTAAGCCTAGACTGTATTGTTCTGTAAGGTGACTCCTGAGATCTTCAACCAAGGGCCCAGTGATGTCCAAATCAATCATTTAAACATGAAGATAAATTCATTAACTTGCTAGATGCTCTAACTGCAGCTCTAATTAAAAGGATGCACTTCGGTAAGGTCATTAAGGTATACTAATTTTTTTCTAGGTCCAATTTGTCAAGATTCTAGTGACATCATGACCCTCCCCGGAGCAAGCTACCATTGACATAAAAAAGTAATTTCTCGTGTAAAATTTGCTACGGCCAACAGTCCAGAGTGATGTCAATGGATGCGCTGTCTAAGGAACAGCTTAGAAATGAAGCCCCTCGGGCGCCTGGGTGGCTCAGTTGGTTAAGCGACTGCCTTCGGCTCAGGTCATGATCCTGGAGTCCTGGGATCGAGTCCC